GGTGTAGTAGTCGCGCTTCTCCTTTTCGGCTCGGCGAAGGGCAGCGCCCACCTTGATGCAGGCTTGCGAGGTGGTCGGGGGTTGGGCTGTGCGCACAGTCACGTCAATGCCCAGGTCGGGCAGAGCTGGGCCCAGGGCACCGCCGGGAAAGGGGTTGCGGCAGTGCAGGTCGATGCGGCAGCTCTGACCGTTGGCGTTGTAGCCAGACTTTTCCACCCAGACATGGGAGAGGGTGGCGTACCTGAGCAGGCGGCCCATCTCGTCGCGAAGGGCGTTGTGTCGCTTGATGGGACGGCAGGTCAGCAGGTGCTCGCGGGTTAGTCGCGGCTGAGGTGTCTTGCTGCTGCAGAGCGGGCACTTGTCCGTCGGCTTGACGTTGATGAGTTCATGGAGGCCAAAACCCATCATGGACACGACCGCAATGGCAAAGGTCGTGTCGCTCAAGCGACGCAACTTGTCCCGACCCCGCATGGTCAAGACAGTGCTGACGCCCCACTCACGTGAGGCCAGATATGCCTGCTGCAGGTCCAGCGCGCACTTGGCCATCAGGTCGTCCAGTGCCGCCTTGGAGCGGAGGGCAATGATCTCAGCTGGTCGCTGAGTCCCCGCGTCCTTGACCGTGGCCATCTGGAAGCCGGCTCGCTGCACGTGGGCCTCAAAGTCGGCAGCCCTCGATGCATCCTCCAAGAGTCGATCGTAAACTCGAGGGTAGCGAGTGGCCAGCTTGGCCATGTTGCAGACATAAGCCACCGGACCGCGCTCAACCAAGTCGTGCAGGCCAAAGCCCCCGGTGTTGGCCCGCGTGAAGATGCGAGCCTCCAGGAGCTGTTCCAGCGTAACGTCATGACCTTCAGCTCCCGCTGGTGCAGACAGGTTTACCTTGGCAAAAAAGGCTTTGACAAAGGTGTCCTTTCAAGCACGGTTCAAGAGCTCGGACAAGCCCGACGTGAGACTTGGGGGCAGCGTGTAGAGGTGGTTGATGAGGCTAGGCACGTACTGCATGGCCGTGAGGAGGGCCTGAAGCGAGACACCGGTCGTCAGCATGTCATATCATCATGTCGTTGAGCTCTCCAGCAATCTCACCTCCATCGACTGCATCAAGGAGCACGTCAGTTGGGCGTTCGGTCCACGTCAGGTTCCCGCCAACGATTACCTCCAGCGACGAAGGTGCAATGACCTAATTTGCATCTCAGGGCCCGGCGTCATGACAAGCCAAGAAGGGCTGCTATGTGCTACCAGGACAGGCTTTGCAAGAGCCCGCCGGGGCCTTGTCACCGCCATGACGGTGGACCCCGGGACCGCAGGCTGTATATGTTCTGCAAGTGGACGATTGAGGGGCAGTTGAATCTTGGAACTTGCCTGCCTTGCAGACACAAGAAGAATCCCCAGGTCGGCTTGGTCCGGCCTCAAGTTGCAACGCCTCGATGGCTCGCTTCGAATTTCTACCACATCGATTTTTTTTTTTTTTTTCTGACATCTTGGCGTGAACCACGTTGTCAGATAAAATCTGCAACCCCGCTCTTTGCGGCCCGCGTTTTGGCGGCGCCCTCGCTCCCACCGTGTCCGCTCGCTTGCTCGCTTGCTTGCCCCGCGGACATGGCCACTGAGTCCGGCGGCGAGGATTCTTGGACCCAGGTCCGCGGTGCTAAACGCCCGAGTGCCGAGTCACCTCCAAGCAACGCAACCACCTCGCCTTCCCAAACTCATCGTTCTGCAAAACACACGAAACATGGCAGCGCTCGCCACGACCGTAACCATGTTTTCCCTGACCCCATGACCACCCCGCTTCGCCCTCGCGCCCGCCACTCTGTCCTCTACCGCCCGTGCCTCGTCTCATGTGCCCTCGACGTCCCCCACTGCCGGTGCGACCGAGTCTTCGGCACGTGCCGTCGTGCCCGCGGCCGAGCCAGTGACCAGGACGTCAAACGGCGGCGGGGAGCAACATCCCAGCCTCGGAAACACTTCCAATGCTTCTCCCCGCACCCCTCGCACGCCATCCAGCCCTCGCTCCTTTGCTCAAGTTGCTGCGGCAATGCCTGCCGCCGCCACTGCCACATCTTCGGCCCCTGTGACCGAGGATTTGTCAGCATCGGTGCCCTCTGAGCCAAATGGCAGCGGGGAGCAACAACCCTCGCCCGAATCCACAGGGCAGACACATCATTCGATTCCTAACACACCATCGGACTTTTTGACCATGTCTTCGGATGAAAGCGACTCCCCTCCTCGCTCCACCGCACTCCGCGCGCCCACCCCTATCGCCCCTCCCGCGCATGATGGTGCCGGTGACACAAGCGGCAGTGTCACGCCTGAGCCATTGGTGCAATCACCTACACCCGCTCAAATGGTGCTGCCATATCCATCGGGTACACAACAAACCCATTCCGATCCCTCTCCGCCCTCAGCTTCACCCCCTGTCACTACCATTTTGCCCGCTGCCATTTCACATCCTGTCGAACACAGTGAGCATACAAACTCAGCCCCACTTGGCGAAGTCAGTGAGAGTGAAACACACAATACAGCGGGCGAACACAGTGAGAGTGAGCAAGATGTTCTTCTCAGCGATCCCGCTCCGCCCATCGCTGCCAACGTGCTGGATGCCCAGCGCAAGGTCCTGCTGAAGACATCTGGCCACAGGCAACTCCTCGCTTGCCCATTTGGGCTTTGCAAATGCAAGGGGCCCCGCCTTGACCGCAAAGCCTGGGTCAATCATGTACTACGCGAGCACCCCTACGACGAGCAAGCCACTGATCTGGTCAAGCAGGTGATGGAGGCCAAATTGGTCGCCCAGTGCAACAAGTGTCACCTCTTCTTCGAAGCTGCTGGTATCAGTCAACACCGCTCCCGATGTGGTGCCAATCTGAAGCGAGCAACCGAGGCGTTGTTTCATGCGGCTGGACACGACCTGCTTGAGATTATGCGTGGCGCTTGGCCCCAACAGTGTGTAGGGTCTCGCGTCAGTGTCTGTGAGCTGCTGAAGCTCGCCCGGCATCCACTGATGCAGCGCAGCCGCTACCCATCCAACGCCACCGAGACCAAGCTGATGGCTGCCACCCTGAGCCAGCTGTATTGGTCTGCCGTCCACTCGGACTAT